CCCTCCATGTAAATCTGTCTTACTATATCTTGGAATCTTTCCGTCCTGTTTTTTTCCCTGGTTTCCAGTTTGTGGCCCTTTCTCTGTCTTCTCTCTTACAGTACTGCTCACTCTGTCTCAGTCTTTGACTTCCTCTGTCTATTTTTGTTCTCTGCCTGGATGCTCCAAAGGAGGGGCCTTGCCTCCCCTCAGTGTCCACTTCACCCCTGGTCCCTTGCTTGTCTTGGCCAGGCAGACCACTCAGGCAGACTACTGGGTAAAGCTTATTTTTTGTTCCAGAAAATGATGCAGCTCCCCCTACACTTTCTTTGCACGGGGCTCCTGTCTGGATTGTGAGACAGAGACAGAGAAGGAAGGAGGGAAGGAGAGAGGGAAGGAGAAAGAGAGAGACAGAGAGGGAGACAGAGACAGAGCGACTAGCTGAGGGGAAGATCTGGGACTCGTGTTAGGTCAGGAAAGCAGTCCTTTGAGGCCTGGCCTTCTGACCATCATGTATAGGCAAATTGGGTTTTTTTGGTTTTTGTTTTTTTTGTACCAGGGATCAACTCAAGACCCTGTGCTTGCTAGGCAGGTGCTTATGCCACTGAGCTAAATCCCTGGCAGCAAATTAGCATTTTAACAGCAGACCTCTCCTCCCTTCAGGTTTTCGGTCTCCATCTCCATATTCCCCACCCTACTATAGATTGTGGTCATGGCTCTGTGTTAACCTCAAATCTGGCCTCACTGTTATCCTGCCCCTGCCCACATATTGATCCTTTACCCTGACCATGGACTGACCCCAGTCCCTAACCCTGATGCTCCCATGAACTTCTTCTCTGAGGCTCTGCATCTGGTTTCTGACAGTATTGCTTGGGCTCACAGGCTGGTGCAAGTGGAGTCACTTCTAGTTCCACTGACTTAGATTCTAGGGTAAAAAAAAGAGCAACAAAACAGTGTTTTACATCTTCAGGTGTTTCTCCTAGAGACTTCAGGACAGTGCAGGCTCTTCTAGAGATGCCCCGCCCAGCAGTGCCTGCACCGGGTGGGACCCATTAAGCTCCTCCATCTACAGTTACAGTAACCATAACTAGCCCTTCGCACACTCTGCAGTATACCTGGCAGTCAGGCACGGCAGCATTCACTCACCCACTCTCATTCCCATTCATTCAACATTTAGCAAACACTCAACAAATGCAATGTGCTGGGTCTGGCCAAAGGCCATAAAATCCATACAGCCTCTGAGTCTGAGGCCCTGGAACCCTGCAAAAGGCTGAAGCCCAGCAGCCACTGTAGGCCTGAGCAAGACAGGCCCCTGCAGCAGCTGAACCAAGATCCAATCTGGAGTGTGGGCCAGACTGAGTCCTGCAGCTTTAGGAAGTCACCCAGGGCTGTGAGGCAGTGGAACCAGGCCTCTGCCCCTGCCCCTGGGGGTGGGTAGGGCAGCAGGTGTGGGAACAAAGTGACTGTGGGACAGCTTTCAGTTTCTTTAGCTAAGGCACCACTCTCAGCTGTGAGGAGGGCCCCAGAGGTGGGCAACCCAAAGGAAGAGAGAATTTCCTTTTCCCTCCCCTTCTCCTTTCCTCCACCTGGACAATTTAGCAGCTTATTAAGATAAAAATGAAAATAAAAGGATTGGGAATGAAGTTCAATGCAGAGGTCCAGGGTTCAATTTCCAGTACTGGAAAAAATAAAAATAAATACAGGAGCCCAGAGTGCTCCAAACTCAGTGCAGTTAGGCCTGAGGATGAAGTTTCCTAGAGGGGAAAAACAGAGAAGTGGGTAAGGAAGGAGAGAGCCTTACTGGATAGTAACAGCTCTGGTAGGCCTGGGGGTGTGGATTCTACTCCAGAAGTCAGGGAGACACGTTGATTCTGTCTCCAGCACTGCATGAGGAAGGTCTCAGGGTGGCTCGCTCCCTTCTCTCCTCAGTGCCCTCATCACTTAACCCCTCCAAGCTGTCCCAAAGGCTCCAAGCGGCCATCCAGCTAACATCCCAGCATGCTGGCTAATGGCTTCTAGTCCACTCCCCATCTCTCCTGTACTCTGGATCACTAAAATACAGGCCTGGAGGTGTCACCCCCTAGAGTCTCCACTTGAATGGCTGGAAGTGTTCTTCGATCACTTCCTGTCACTACATGGGATCCCTTAGATGGAGGGAGCACAGCTAGGTCTCTTGGGTGTGTCCACCCAAGGGAGTGCACATTGGCTGTGGTTCAGAGTGACTGCAGATGCATGTTGCTGTAAGAGGGTACATTCTGTGGGGCAGAAGGTGGGTGAAGGAAGTCAGGGGAAATATCCTAGGCAGGTCCCTGGGCAAGACATGGGATATGCTAGGATGGAGCCTATCCTAGGAGAATGATCCCAAGTGGGGAGGAAGGAGCAGCTGGCCCCAATAGGCTCGGCTAACAATGGACTCAGTGCAAGCCTGGGTGTAGGGCGTGCATGTGTATTCATGGGACAGGAACTGAGGGGTGGGGGAAGCTCCTGACCAGCCCCAGCTGGCTAGGTCCACGAACAGAGGTGGCAGAGCTCTCTGGGGTGACCCTGGAATATTTTTATCTTCCTATTTCTCACAGGCCAGCTGCTGGCTCCTAGCTCCAGGATATTAAACACAGACCAAAAACTGCCCAGCTCTTTCACACCAAAAACAAAGAGAAACCCTGTTTGTCTTTTGGCTAATCTGTGGCCCTGTTCACCCTGGCAGCTGGGCTCTGGTCATGTGTAGGCATGTACTTATGTGTGTCTCATATGTGCTTGTGTGTGTTGGCCCAGGCCAGGGCATGCACCCTGGGAACACAGATGGTTGGCTCCTGGAGGCTAACACCAAAACCTCCTTCTCCAATGGGCTGGGCTGGAGGCCTGGGAAATCTCCATGGGCAGAGACTACGGGTCACTGAGCAAGTCTTAAAAGCCTGCCAGAGAGAGTGACCTTCTCCCTTTCTGACCTCTTCAGACCCCTGGTAGTCTAGAATCTTAGCCTGCAAGATAAGCACAGGGAGACAGCTGGGATCCAAGGCTTTTAAACCTTGTGCTGTAAAAAGACAAATGTCAGGCATGAGAGTGTCTCGCCACCTCGTGGGAACATGTAGTATTCCTCCCTGAGCCTCTGGTCAGCCAACCAGGGGAGGAGAGAGGGCTAGACCCCCCACCAGGGGCTGGCTATTTTCACATCCCCTCAAGGGAGGAAACCCACCCACCAAAGCAGAAGGGGCAGCCCAAGATGGTCCATCCTCACTGCAAAGGGCACACCTAATTCCATATGGTACAACTGATTGTGCTTGCAACATCTTAGGGGCAGGTCTGCAAGAAACCTGGAATTCATTTGCCCTAATGAAACTGTAGCCCAGGGAGGGAACCTGGGACTCCCACTGAAGGGTCCTAAAGCTCATGTATTCTCCTTTGAGTCCCACACAGCTGTCCAGATGGAATCTAACCCCTAAATAGGCCAACTCCCCCGCAGTGGAAGTTCTTGCCACAGGTTGGTAGAGGCAGGCTATATGGACACCGAGAAAACTGGAAGCTGTCCATGGGGCTCCAGGATCATCAGGATCTTGATGTTAAAAGGAAATAAATGTTTTATGGGGCACTTTTTACTGCAATCTTAGCATTGTGCTGAACATTTACAAACATTGTCACTTCATATTTATGATGTAGATATATTTTAATTTCCATTTTTCAGAGAAGGGAACCAAGGCAGAGAAAGCAACCTGGCGTAGGTTGCCAGCTGGTACATGGCAGAGATCTAAATCCAGTGGTTTTTATTTCATTAAGGGTGAGGGCTCTGGCAGGCAAGGTTCACTCCTTAGGGACCCTGCAGGCACTGCCAGTTCCAGCCCTCTAGTAAGAGTAGCTGCCACTTTTCCAGGAGACATGGCCTCAGTGTGCCCTCTGCTGGGCACAAGGAGGAGCAGGGCACTTCCTTCTACACAATCAGATGCCATGAGTCCTGGCATCAGTTGACAGAGAACTGTGTTCTCTTCCCAAATATGGGCCAGGAGCCAAGTGGCTGGCTGCAGACCACCACTGCTATGGAAGGCTCCCAGCACAGCTCACATCTACCTACTGGCAGGAGGGGCTATTTCAAGGCTTTCTTCTTGGAATCCTGCCTACCTCCCCTGAAAGTGAGCTAGTCCTAACCCACCCCACTGAGGAGGACCACAGACCAGACAGGGGACGCCAAGAGGGGAGCTGTGTCCATGCAGGACACTTCCACGTGGGCAAGGGGCACAATGGGATGCCTGGGAAAGGGCCTGACTGTGAGGGCCAGAGGGAGGGCAGGCTGTGTTGAGCCCTGAAGGGATGGCTCCAGAGGAAGGAAAGAATAATAACGACGTGGGTCAGTCTGGCAAAAACATGAAGGAGGAAGAGGTGTCTCAGCATCTCCATCTAGAACAACTTTCTTTGGACCCAGGCTTGCCACTGAGTGTGCCTTGGTGACAGGAAGGCAAGAACCTGAAACAACCCCCTAGGAAATAAGGGCAGCCTCCTAAGTTTGGGTTAGGTGCCAAGAAACAGCCTCAGGCACAGAGAACCTCATGGGCCTCATAGAAAAGGAAGGAGGAGGTAATGCACATTTTATTTGTAGCTGGCTATGCTATGCTCAGCAGAGGGAGGGATGGCAGGTTTTGGAGGAAGAAGGCCAGAACGAGGACAGAAAGTTCAACAGCAGTTGAACTTTCACTATCCTGAGCAAGGGGCATCCATGTGGGTTGGAACTTGCTGTGTGTCCCTCCATCCCTCTAGGCCACCTACATGGGTCCTCCTACTTTATACCTGATGTCACCCCCTCACCCCCATGGACTGGCCATAGGCAAGAGACCCACACTCTTCTCTGCAGCATTTCAGCTGCTCTTGGCATCCGTAAAAGTCTATTAGGGAGAGAGAATACCAATACCTATAACCTCTCTCCCAATCCCCTACAGAAGCCTCATCACCCAGGCCATACAACCCAGACTCTGGATGGCTGCTAATGCCAGTCACACCCAACTGGCTGTATATGAAGGCAAGACAGTAGGCATGAGTGCTTATCTGTATAAGACAGTGTTGTAGGGCTGCAAAGGCAGGATGTGAGGACAGGAAGTGAAGGACATGGGCTTATTTATCATAGAAGTCCACATGAGCTCCAGACTCGAACGTGTCTGTTTGCAACAAGCTCACGAGTTTCTGGGCTGACACTTTGCAGTCTACCAGCTGCCCCTTTGCCTTTAGGTCCTGCAGGCTTTTCCGCAAGTCTGAGTCTACGGAGGTCTCCCGGGCCAACTGTTGCATGTCTGTGTCCAGGGGACCTAGGTGATGAAAAACAGATGGACAGAAGGTCATGGCTCCCCACTATGCATGGAAGGTGGGGTGATTCAGGTCTGCCCAGGGGTTGAAGTGCATGGTCAGGGTAGACAAAGGCACCACTTTGTCAACACTGAGTTTCAGACTCAAATTCCAAAGGTCACTGAACATGCTCCCTCGTGTCTAAAACAAAACTCATTATCTCCTGTCCAAGTAGAACTTCTCTTGATTTTCCAACTTCTATTAACTAAGTACTCAAAACTTCCATTCTCCTCCATTCCCTCCCACCCTCCCCAGCCAACCTGGTACTAGATACCGGGAACCACTCAGGACCACTGTGTCTACATCCCTCAACCTGGCCCTTTTTACAACCTTGAGTTTCTCCTGCTTCAACTCCTTGGCAAGCCTTCTGCTAAATTAATTCTGCTCCAAGATCATACCACTCCTCTGCTCCAAACCACTTACAGGTTTGCCAGTATCCTGGCATGTACTCCAGGCCTACTCTATGAGCACGTGCAGCCTTGAGCCAGACTAGAAGAGCTGCCACCACCCCCACACCCCGCAATAAGCTGTCCTACCTCTACTTGCATTTCTGGAACATATCTTCCATCTGCTAACATCAAGAAGCCCACAAGGGTCAATGTACAGATAGGCTACTTCCAGTAAATCCACACCTGATCTCCCTACCTAAAGGGAATAACTTCCCTCCTAAACTCTTATACACACTTTCTGTTCTTCGTATCATAATCACAGCACCCCAGAATTAAGGGTTAATCATTTTTAGGGATGGAAAAATCACAGAATCCCATAGCTGGAAAGAGAATCATTCTGACACTTAAATTCCACTCACCTGTACATCCTTGATGACCAATCCTTTCAACCTTTCCAAATATTGTTCTTGAAAAATCATAACTTTTTTTTTCTTGTAGTGCTAGAGATTCAATCTGGGGCCTTGCACATGCCAGGCAGGGATTCTATCAGTTGTCCATCTACTGAAATAGCCAGAGTGGCCTGTGGCTTTGTTAAGACTCTGGGGAACTCCAAAGAATCTGTTGCCTCACAATGCCCAGGGTAGCTTCTTGAGATCTAACTCAGCCACATGGCACTCTAGAATCTGCTCTGCTCCTGACTGTGGTTTTGAGGGAGTGATAAATTGGATGTTGGTGCAAGAATAAATGTGTGTATACACTAGGGGGCACCAGAGAACATGAGGAAGTAGACACATCTGATCAAGACACACTGATCATGAAGTTGGAAGCAAGGTAGGATCCTGATCCTGCCACATCTGGGCTTTGGGCAGGGCATTCTACATCTGTGACCCCAGGATTCTGAAGGGGCGTAGACTACTAGATCTCCACCTAAGTAATTCAGGCAGTTTACCCTGGCTCTGTCACCATCTGCCAACTGCAGAAACCACAAATCTAGAGTAAAAGCCTGGCACAGTGGTATCTTGGCAGGTGGTCAGAAACCAGACCAGGTATCATGAGACCCCATACCCTTTCACTTTCATGGGATCAGAGTCCTTTTTTTATTTATCCCAGTAGTCCTCGGTACCCACTTGCCATGTTCCAGCTCAGGGAAGACTGGGATGATCACAACTCTGCAATGTCTGTATGCTCTTCATTCAACTAACATTCACCATGATTGCCTCAGTGGAGCTTTGCAAGGGAAGGAAGCTGACAAGTGCATACATGAAGGGAACACAGTGTGACAACTCCTATATCAAAAGGGCTAACCATTAGTTGTTCACTATTAAGGATCATTTTCACATGTATTGCCTCTTACAAAAGTCACTCAAAATGCCCTGTAAGACAGCCAGCATCTTCTCCATTTCTCATGAGGATATGGTGTTCAGGCCTAGAATTCAAACTCTGGTCTTTGTCCACATACCATCTAATATCTTGGACTTCCCTGTTCCACCCTCCAGTCCAGGCAACTTCTATTCTCTTTCTGTATCCTTAGCCCTGGCCAGCTTTAACTTCTTTGCTAACTATATATACCAGGATTCAGGGACAGTATATTCTGTGGGTCCTTTCTTAAGGAGACAGACTAGGCCCCTTGTTCAGCCCTTAGCAAGCAACTGGACAGTTCTGGGTGACAGGAGGAAGTACTTCCCACCTACCTGGGGCATAACTCAGTACTCTCACAGTAGGCTCTTCTGCGGCCAGGACCTGGAACATCATGTCACGGGCAGCCTTCCCTGCACAGTACAATGCCCAGCCCTTGAAGGGCATCTGGGCACAGAGGGATGAGATGTTAACTACTGTCCTGTGGAGGCCAGGACTGTCAGAGAAGGCCTTCAAAGCACCAGAGGTCAGGCAAAGCGTGGAGGTCAAGTTCATAGCCCAATAGTTGTTCACTTCAGTGGGATCATTCAGGTTCAGGAAGCCTTTGGAAACATCTCCAAGAGTGGCTGAAAAACCAGACCAAAGAAATAACTCGGTGCAAGTGGGGGTGGGTTTCTCCTCTTTTAACCCTCTCCCAATTCCTCCAGATACTTCATTCCCAGGCTCATCTAGAGAGCATCTGTCTAGCACCTCCCAGGACACTTCCCTGTTCCCTAACTCTGCAGACACACATGCCTGGGAAGACAACCCCTCACGCTGCATTCCCACACAGCTGCCTTGCTACCGGAAAAGGATGGGGGAGCGCTTGACACACTTTGGAGAAGCAAAGGAACTTGTTAGGGAACTCCATGCCCAGACTCAGGAGTCCACCAGAGGGCGCTGCGCAAGGCAGTCGGGAAAGTTCTACAAACGCTTTAAAAAACCTGGTTAGGCGAACCTTGCCCGCTTGGGGGTGAGGTCGCCCTGGTGGCACTGCGCGTTTCCAGCGTGCACCTCCCTTCCGCTTGCCGCTCAAACCTTAACAACTAGGGTTTGGACTTTAGCTGTCTAGGCGGCGTCCCTCAGCGTCGCCCGTGGAGTTCCCAGCGACGAGGGTCCGCCTCAGTTCGCGGTGCCTCACCTGCGTTGTTGATGAGCAGCAGTCTCTGTAGGCCCTCGGGCCTGGGCAGCTCGCGAAGGGCCCTGAGCAGCTGCTGCAAGCCGGCGTCCGAGCCTAGGTCGGCGGGCACCCGCAGGACGCGCAGCCCAGGCCGCCCGGCGCCGAGCTCGGCCTCGACCTCCTGCAGCGCGTCGTCACTGCGGGCGCTTAGGAGCAGCACCGAACCGGGCGACAGCAGCTGGGCCAAGAAAGGGGCTAGCGCGCGGCCGAAGCCGCGGGAGGCCCCAGTCAGCAAGCACACTGCGCGACCCAGGCTGCCAGCCTCCATGCTGCAGCTGTCCGCAGGCCGGCTGGCGCCGGAACGCCCGGCGCGGGTCACGGAGGGGCGGGGCGGGGCGTGGGGGGAGGAGCCTCTGCTGGGCGGGGCCGAGGCAAGGACCTGAGGGATCCGGTGTTGCGCCTCCTCCGCAGCTGGTGCTTAGTGGGAAGGGGCTCCGGCCCTCATCCGTGCGGAGAGATAACCAAAAAGGGGCGGAAGGCAAGGCCCCGTGGGAAAGCCTAACCGGAGTCCCAGCGCTGCCAGGTTCTTGGCCGGCCACTTCCCTTCTCCGCAGGCTCCACCCGCGCTGAGACGCGTGCTCCAAAGGTCCTCCCAGTTCAGGCCCAAGTTCCCCGCGCCGTAGCCTTCTCCCAGATTACTTCTGGGCTCGAAGGCTTGGATCCCTGCTGGAGTTGGAGAACTCCCCGCTTTCCGGATGCGAGGAGCTTCCTCTGGGGGAATCACAGTGGCTCCTCCAAGTGATGTAAAAAGCTTTTTTCCCCCCTGTGCACTTGAGTGCTCATCTTTTCCTTCCCACCTCGCAGTTTCTGAATTCTGTCCCTCCTGTCAGTGTTCTCCAGGACTTTGCACCTTAGGAATTCAGTAATTTCCTCTTGCTCTCCAGACCCTAGAAGAGATTGGTGCTAGCACAATCTCATCTATCAATTGACTAGACATTTCTTAGAATGCCAGGCTATGAAGGAAAAAAGGCCAGGATGGAGGCATGACTGAAAATCAGACATCGCCTCTTTTGAACCCAGCTGCTTTTAGAAGCTGAAGGGTTTACCTAGAGAGAGCTCGGGAAGTTTCTCCTCTGAGGAAGCTGTTTGTCCCCCTCTCCCACCAGTCTTACAAGTAATATCTCAGGGGAAACATAGCCTAGAATTCCTTTAAAAACAGCACAGTGGTTCCCAAATATCTCTGCACATTGGAACCACTGAAGAATTTAAAAATACTGTGTCCAACAGGCCTAGATTTTGGGTGATTCTCATGTGTGGACAAGTCTGGGAACCACTGTAATTGCAGTTGGTGGTAATATATGAGCTTTCTTCAGTACATATGATGACTTTCTTTGAGCCAGTGGCATGCATTTGTATTAGAGACATAGTAGCTGAATTCAAAATATGGATCTTGTTTAGATTCTGTTTCAAAATCATTAATTTAAAGATGCTTCGAGACAGTTGGAAAAATTCCAATATGGAATGGATATGAAATGATGTCTGTGATTCATTGTTAGGTTTTTAGGTATGAAACAGCATATGGTTATAGAAGAAAATGACAAAATTTTTTAGACATTAAATGTCATGATGTCTGGGATTTGCTTTCAAATATTTTAATAATATACAGGAAAAAGAATAGGGATATATAAAACTAGGACAAGTAAAAGCTTGATAATTATTGTGTCTGGCTGGGTATATTGAGATCCATTATTCTCTCTTGTGTACGTTTGAACATTTTTTATACTAGAAAAATAAAATTTAAAACTTCTAAATGATTTTAAAAATAGAAAATAACTTCTAAAGCTCTGGAAACTGTAAAAAGACAAGAGATTTTTTTCATTTTAATAGATAGTGCCTATCTTAGTTATTTTTTCTCTTGTTGCTGAGATAAAATACCTGCCACCCAAAATGAGGGAAGGAGAGGGTTATTTAGCTTATAGTTTTTGGAGGTTTCAGTTTATATTCAGCTGTCTTCAAGGCAGGGTGGCATAGCTAAGGGGTAGCTATTCATGGTGGCTGCAAGCAACAAGAGTAAAAAGGGCAAACCATGCCTCTTTTATACTGTATGCCAGCTACTCACCCCTGGGGCAGGGGTAACATTCGCACCGCCAATCCCAGTGATAGACAACAAACCAATCACAAGTGTGAGATTAACCACCTCCACGACTGTATGAGGCTTTGTGGGGACATTCAAACACAAACTATAACATTTCATCCTTGGCCCCCCAAAGACTCATGTACATCCTTTATGTAAAAGATATTTAGTCTGTCTCCAAGAGTTGTCAGAGTGCTAACAGTTTCAGCATTGCTGAAAAGTCCAAGTCCCATCTCTTATGCGACCTAAGGCAAACTCTCAGTTGTAACCCCCTGTACAAATGAAAACAAAGCTAAACACTTCCAACATTCAATGGCACAAGATAAGCATTACCATTCCAAAGGGTACAAATGGGAATACAAAGCATTGGGACCAAAGCAAGTCCAAAACCCAGCAGGGCAAACGTTAAGTCTTGTAGTTGCATGTTCAGCATCTAAAGCAATCTGACAAATTGTGAGCTCCAAAGTGCTTGTGTGGGTCCATCCCTATGGCACTTCGGGTGGTTGTAGCTGCTGTGGCTTCTCTCTTAGGTCTGCTTTGTTTTCTTCTTGTGGCTTTTCTTAGATGATCCATTGTTGGGAGCCTGCCGTATTACCCATGAGAATATAGCCACAAGATGGCGTCCGCCTACCGCCTCGCTGCTCCCCTGCCCATCGTGTGCCCAAGATGGCGCACACATCCTGCTTCCTGGTTCTTGCTCGGCTTACTGTCCCCGCCATATATGGTAATGATTGATTGCTTCCTTGTTGCCGCCCAATCGCCTGTCCCCACGTGTAATCCCATGATTGGATAACATTAGCTATATAAGCCCAAGTATAGGAAGTGCCCGACGCACAACACGGAAGAAGCCGTCGAGGACGGACATGTATTGAGGTTGCTGCCCAGTCAATAAAGGTGCTTGCAGAGGCTGAGTGTTCGTGTGCTCCATTCCGCGGGACGGATGCGGCGCCGGAATCCATGTCCCTGGATCTTCCAAACTTTTGGAGTCTCCACTGTACCTTTGGCTTCACATACATAGTAGTCTCACATATTGTCCTCTTGGGGATACACTATTTGGTCTCCCAGGCCTTTTGAAATCAAGGTGGAAGCCTTTTCAGTCTCAGATCTCTTGCATTTTGTATGTATCAAAAGCCATCACCACATGGATACTGCCAGGGTTTGCTGTCAGCTGGAGTAGTAACCAGTTTTTCCTCTCTCTTGGCTGTAGGGATCAACTGCCTGGATTTTTGGGTACTCTGAACCTGATTTTGAAGAACATATTTTTTTATGATGCCACCATTCTGGAACCTGGTGTGGCCACCGCCATTTTAGAACATAGTGTGGCTGCCACCATTCTGGTACATATTGCTATGTAGTTTTCGCCTCTAAGAAAAGTCTTTACTTTTGCAGTTTTGAGGCTGCAGAGTGGAGACTCATTGCTGTTGCATATGATGTTCTCAGACCATCTTTTATATTCTCTTGTTTCTTTTTTTTTTTTTTTAATTTTTATTTAAGGAGAAAAGAAAAGAAAGAAAAAAAACAGTGAAGGGGTACAAGTTATACAGGTTTACAGAATAAAAAAATGCGCAGTAGGAAATCACTAGTTAATGGATTACATATTGCCATCTTAGAAATAATTGTTCAAGTCACAAAATTAAAGCTTGTAGAGTGGACATTCCAACAATGATACTGCAAACAGTTCTGTTCAATGATCCAATAAAACTCTGTGATATCATTTTCTATCTTATACTTTTAAATATACATGCAGTTATATAGTTTAGAGCACTTTCTTTTCCTCTCTTTTGTACAGTGACTATTACACATTTTGGGTTTCATTGCTCCCACAGTTCTTGTTGCTTTTTTGGAAGAGAGTAAAACCAAATGTGACATAACAGAACAGAATCGGTCAAGTCAAAAGGGTGGACATAATAGATAATATAAAAAACACAATACAAGGTGATCAACAATGGTTACCATAATGCCTCCCGCTATTTCTAATAGAATTGCCTATATCATTAGTTGTAATAAAATTGAACAAAACCGTAAAGAATAAAACCGACAAAACCAAAACATTGGAGATATTGTAGGTCTTCAAAAGTAGATAAAAGTCAACGAGAATGGGCGTTATAATGAATCTCATTATCTTCTCAGCTGATGCCTAAACTTTCGAACCTGATACTATCCAGCAAAACAGAATATAGGAACCTCAGTCAAAAACAAGATGGTGAGAGTAATACAGGGCTTCAAATCGAGATAATAGAAAGTCAAAGTGGGTTACTATATTATATCCTGCTATATTTTTCCCTGTAATTAAATGGATAAAAATAAAAAAGTAAATAATGGAGTGGAGATTGAGAAAAAAAGAGGGCATAACAGCGAAACAGGGCAGATCAAAACATAACCATTTAAGCAGAATAGTGTTTCACCACCAGCTAATCCTGACCCAAAAATGGTTACCATATTGACTCCCTCCCTGAAGTCCTTGAGTACAACTTCATATACTGTAGCATTAAGTATATCAAAACAATGTAAATCCATTTAAGAGAATGACAGCATTATAGAGTATTTAGAATCGACTAACAGAAAATGAACAATGGTCTCTGTATAATCTCCTTGTCTTTAAAAGGTTTTTTCTTATACTATCGTACATAACAAAATCCAATAAGCTACAACCTGTTTAGACCATTGGAGACAGAAGAACAAAAGCTAGATGAGACTTCAAAACAAGATGGTACTAAATCAGCATTACCTATTAAGATGTCATTTTCTCCAAAAAAAGCTGTTCCTATCATCCAATCTTCTCTGTCTCATTTCTGTTGAGCTCTTTTTCTGTCAGTAGCTGTCAGTTTGTCTTCTTCGTTTTGTTCTCTGCTCCATTCGTTGTGGCCTCCCCGCCCCTATTTCTGGGTTCTTTGTATTTTTCTTTTTTTAGAATATCCTGCAATACTTTCTGTAGAGTTGAATTGGTGGTTGCAAATTCCCCCAGTTCCTCTTTATCTTGGAAGCACCTCGTTTTTCCATCAATTTCCAGGGACAGTTGTGCAGGATATCTCAGTCTTGGCTGTAGATTATTATCTTTCAAAGCTTGAATTATTTCTCCCCATGCTCTTCGTGATTTGATGGTTTGTGAAGAGAAATCTGCTGTAATTTTGATGGGTGCTCCCTTGTAAGTGATCTGTTTCTTGTCTCTTACAGCTTTTAATATTCTGTTCTTGTATTGAATTTCTGGAATTTTTATTATTATATGTCTGGGTGTTTCTCTGTTAGGGTTGTAGGTAGCTGGGGTCCTGTATGCCTCATACATCTGAGTATCTTTACCTTTTGCTAAATTAGGAAAATTCTCCTGGATTATTTCTGTGAGTAGCTTTTGTAGTTCACTTGTTTGTGTCCCTACTTCTTCTTTTATGTTCTTAATCCTTAAGTTATGGCTCCTCTTATCATCTTCTTGTCTTTGTATTATTGCTGTGTGTTTCTTTGTTATTTTTAAGAAGTTTTTCATTTCATTCTCCCATGTTTCAAGTCTGCCCTCCAATTCAGATAGTCTGTCCTTAGTTTCTTTCAAGCTGTTATGCCAGTCTTGGGTAGACTTCTTGATTTCTTGATAGTCCCTTTGCACCTGCTTCACATACTCCATGCTTTCTCTGTTTTCTCCATCAAGCAATTCTCCCCTCTTTTTCTGTTCTTCCACTCCACCATCTGCTTTTTCCTGGGTGGTGCTTAGCATTTCTCTAACTATTCTGCATACTTCTAGCTTCAGGTCATTGATAACTTCATTCCTGAATTGGTCTATGAGGCTCTCTAAATGGCGCTTAATGTATATTGGTACAGTGTCCACTATTGCCTGATTCTCAGGATTGGGGGTCGAGGAGCCTTTTTTGTTGCTTCCCTTCCCCATATTTTCTGTTCCTTATGAAATGTAATCTTACACAGGAGGCCCGGCTTCCCTGCCTGTCAGCTACAGCTTGATCGAATTGCGCTGGCTAGTTGTTCCAGCTCACTGCTGCGCCCCAGGGAGTTGCAGAGGAGGCAGCCTACGCGGAAGTCGGTCGCTCCTCCGGGCCACCGTCAGGCTCTGAGATCTGGGCTAGGCCAGCCTAGGGGGTCCGCGAGCAGCATCCCTCCGGCCAGGCACCTTTCACCAATCCCGTCCGAGAGGGAACCGTGCGGCTGCAGTTGCCGCCGCGCCCTGCTCTTACAGGACTGCCCGCGCCCAGAAAATCCTCCGCTGGAGTCAGACTGCGGTAGGGAGTCAGTTCCTCGCTCACCTCGCCTCCAGTCAGCCTTCCTTCCTGTCCATCGCGTTTCCGACTCCGTTCCCGAGCTCGGCGGTCGCGTCTCTCCTTGCTGAGCCGCTGTGGAGGTAGCCGGCCGCCGCGCGGCGGGAAATCCAAACCGCGGTTTCCAATGGCGTGGAGTCGAGCCTCCACACCGAGATTTTTCTGTTCCTATTTTAGCGCCAGGACTGTATTCCAAGTTGGATTCTCTCAGCCCAGTTTGTTCCTGAGTCAGCAGAGCATATCTCTACTGGTTCGTATCTCCTTAGTCCGCATCATTCCTGGCCTCTGAGCCGAGCCTTTAGAGAGCGTTCAGTAGTTGCTGTTGTCTGTCCGCCATGTTCTCCAGAGTCTATTCTCTTGTTTCTTCTCAACAGTGGAGATCAAAGCTCTATCTTTGTAGTCCAGAGCTTTTCTGGAGATTTTTTTCTGGTTAAATTCACAATGTTTTAAATCATCCTGTTGGGCTCTTTGCTCTTGATTCACAACATTAATCTGGCTAAAAGCCCTCAACAATTGCCATGCTATTACCTCAACATTTGACTGCCTTGAAGCTTCTTCTACCAGATTAATTAATCTATTACCCTTAATCTTAGTCTCAGGCAAAATCTGTGGACATGAACAAAATGTAGACAACCTTTCTGTCAAGACATCACACACACATCTGGACTCTAACAATCAATGCAGTCCTTCCCAGCAGAAACCTCCTGAGCCTGGTTTTTCCTGGCAGGACTTTTGTCAGCCTTCTTGTCTCCTGAGCTCTGACTAGAGTCTCCCAGACAGTACAGCCAAAGGTGTTTCCACACCATTCTTTTAGGTGACATCTCAGAACATTTTTAAATTCTTCCCACAGGCCATTTCCAGAGGCTTTTGACCACATGGTAAGGTATAATTATAGTAACAACCCCACTCCTGGTATCAAATTATATCTTGGTTACATTTCTTCTTGTTGCCGAGACAAAGTATGTGATGTCCAAAATGAGGAAAGGAAAGGTTTATTCAGCTTGCAGTTTTTGGAGGTTTCAGTTTATGTTTAGTTGGCTCCAAGCCAGGATGGTGTGGCTAAGGCACAGCCATTCATGGCAACCACAAGTAACAAAAGTGAAAAGGACAAAAAAAAAAAAAAAAAAAAAAGGGAAAGCATGCCTCCTTCCCCACTATTGGCTATCCGCCCCTGGATGCAGCACTCACTGCCAATCCCAGTACTAGACAACAAACCAATCACAAATGCTAGATTCAGCTGCCTCCATGACTGTATGAGGCTTTGGGGGGACATTTAAACACATAACATCATAACAATACAAAAAAAACTATATATATATATATATATATATATATATATATATATACACACCAAGGATTGAACTCATGACCTCATGCTTGCCAGGCAGGCTCTTATGTCACTGAGCTAAATCCTCAGCCCCATAAGGAACTTTTAAAAAGATTAGAATAATTCTGTACTCGAAATTCCAACTTATATAAGCATGTCTATTTCACCATACTAACTTTATTTTCTTAGGTTTAAATATGTATGTGTGTGTATATACACAATAAGGATCAAACCCAAGGCCTCAGTCAAACATATTAGGCAAGTACTCTAACCACTGAGCTATACCTTCAGTCCTAGAATAAACATTTTTACTTTTTTATTCCATAAG